TGCTGTTGGTGTTGTTGTTGCTGCTGCTGCTGTTGTTGTTGTTGCTGCTGCTGCTGCTGCTTTTATTGTTGTTGGCGTTGAATTCTCATTTCTGAAAAATAAGTATTGTTGATCCCCCCCACCGGTGCATACGGTTTTTTCTGAATCAAAGTGTGCCCCTCGACGCTCGCATCCTGTTTTTTGACAGGGAAAGTCTTCCTGCTCAAACTGGGCACTTGGCCTTCTGGTTACAACAACAACGGTTCCCGCCTGAGACTTCCAAGTAATTTAGCCCGGACCCCCGCTCCCGCTTGAGATTTCCTCGCTTGTTATTCAGGAATCGCGTTCTCGCTTGGGACTCCCTTGCAGTTTATTCAGGAATCGCTCTCCCGGAGCTCTGGAGTCGCGCTCTCGCTGGAGACTTGCTTGCAACTTCCTGAAGAATAGCCTTGCGTTGGAATTTCCTTCAATTTGCCCAAGCGCCGCGCTCCCGACACCCAGGCACCCAGGAGTCGCGCCCGTTGTGGCCCCATGTGCATGCCCTTCGTGGCCCCGCTGTCGCCATTTGTGTCCCCCGCATTGTCCTACGTGGCCCAGTTGCTACCCTCAGTGGCCCCGTCGTTGCCTTCTGTGGCCCCGCATTATCTGCACTTCGTGGCCCCCGCTCGTTCGCACTCTTCGTGGCCCATACGCATTCCCTTCGTGTCCCCGCTGTCGCCCTTCGTGGCCTACTTCGTGCCTTTCGTGGCCCTGCTGTCGTTCTCTCTCGCTCTCGCTTTCGTCGTCGCGTCGTCGCCGTCGTCGCTGACGTCGTCGTCGTCGTCGTCGTCGTGGTCGGTCCCCTGTCCGTCCCTCTTGGTGTCGGGTCGACGGTCCGCGGCCGCCCCGCCGATCAGCGCTGCCGCTGGCCAGGCCGACGGTCCCGCCCCGCCGCTTGCCGGGGCCCGGCCTGCAGGGAAGAAAGGTATACCCCCCAAACAGGGTTCGATCGAAGACGAAAAGGGCGGGTATCGAGGGTTTGGGAAATACGCGTTTTTTGGACACTCGAGCATATAAAGGCGAGCTGTCTTGAAATGATTGTTGTTGTTGCTGTTGTTTTTGTTTTTGTTTTCGTTGTTGCTGTTGTTGCTGCTGTTGTTGTTGTTGCTGTTGTTGTTGTTGTTGTTGTTGTTGTTGTTGTTGTTGTTGTTGTTGTTGTTGTTGTTGTTGTTGTTGTCGTGCTTTTTGTTGTTGTTTTTGTTGCTGCTGCTGCTGCTGCTGTTGTTGTTGTTGCTGCTGCTGTTGTTGTTGTTGTTGTTGTTGAATTCTCATTGCTGAAGAATAATATTTGTTGATCCCCCCCACCGGTGCACATTGTATTTGTTCCATTGAAGTGCCTTTCCCGGGGCTCGCACCTTTTTTTATCAGGGAAAGTATTGAGGCTCAAACTGTGCCCTGGCCCCCGGGTTACAACAACAACGGCTCCCGCCTGAGACTTCCTCGCAATTTAGGCCAGGCCCCCGCTCCCGCCTGAGATTTCCTCGCGCACTCTCGCTGGAGACTTGCTTAACTTTACTCAGAAATAGCGCCCTGGCGTTTGAATTTCCCGCAATTTACTCAAGCGCTGCGCCCCCGACACTCAGGCACCCAGGAATCGCGCTCACGCCTAGAATTCCCTCGCAGATTATTTAGGAATCGGGATCTCGCTCTCCTTCGTGGCCCCGTAGCAGCCCTTCGTGGCGCCCTCGCTGCCCTTCGTGGACCCGTTGCAGCCCTTCGTGGCCCCCTCGCTACTCTTCGTGGCCCCGTTGCAGCCCTTCGTGGCCCCCTCGCTGCGGCCCCGTTGCTGCCCTTTGTGGCCCCCTCGCTGTCCTTCGCGACCCCGTTGCAGGCCTTCGTGGCTCCCTCGCTGCCCTTCGTAGCCCAGTTTTGCCCCTTCGTGGCCCCCTCGCTACCCTTCGTGGCCCCGTTGCTGCCCTTCGTGGCCCCCTCGCTGCCCTTCGTGGTCCCGTTGCAGCCCTTTGTGGCCCCCTCGCTGTCCTTCGTGGCCCCGTTGCAGCCCTTCGTGGCCCCCTCGCTGCCCTTCATGGCCCCGTTGCAGCCCGTCGTTGCCCCCTCGCTACCCTTCGTGGCCCCATATATGTATGCCCTTCGTGGCCCCCGCTCGTTCGCGCCCTTCGTGGCCCTATATGCATGCCCTTCGTGGCCCCTCGCTGCCCTTCGTGGCCCCGTTGCTGCCCTCAATGGCCCCGTCCTTGCTTTCCGCGGCCCAATATACGTATGCCCTTCGTGGCCCTCGCTCGTTCGCGCCCGTCGTGGCGCCATGTGCATGCACTTCGTGGCCCCGCTGTCGCCCTTCGTGGCCCCCTCGCTGTCCTACGTGGCCCAGTTGCTACCCTCAGTGGCCCCGTCGTTGCCTTCTGTGGCCCCGCATTATCTGCCCTTCGTGGCCCCCGCTCGTTCGTTCGTGCTCTTCGTGGCCCATACGCATTCCCTTCGTGTCCCCGCTGTCGCCCTTCGTGGCCTACTTCGTGCCTTTCGTGGCCCTGCTGTCGTCTTCTCTCTCGCTTTCGGTTTCGCTCGTCCTCGTCGTCGTCGCCGTCGTCGTCGTATTCGTCGACGTCATCGTCGTCGACGTCGTCGTCGTCGTGGGTCCCCTGTCCGTCACTCTTGGGGCCAGGTTGCCGCCGATCAGCGCTGCCGCTGCCCAGGCCGACGGTCCCGCCCCGCCGCTTGCCAGGGCCCGGCCTGCCGGACGAAAGGTATACCCCCCAAAAGGGGTACGATCGATGACGAAGAGGGCGGGTACCGAGGGTTTGGGAAATATGTGTTAACGGACATTCGGGGGGCAGATACGAGCAAACACTCTTAAAACTGTTGTTGTTGTTGTTGTTGTTGTTGTTGTTATTGTTGTTGTTGCTTGATGGTGTTAATTCATTCATATGTGTATATTTACCTATACGACCACCCTTCGGGTGATAAGGAGGTTGGGGGGTGAGGAACCAACGTATCATTCGATCGGTCCCGCCATCGATCTCACTATGGATCTCAGTATCGGTCTCGCTCGATCGATCTCACTCGATCGCTCTCACAATCGATATCACTCGAACTACTTCATTCGATCGAAATCACCACAGACCTGACGATTGATCTAACAATCGATCTCATTATCGGTCTCATTACCGATCTCACAATCGATCTCACATTCGGTCTCACAATCGATCCCACTTTGGATTTTTTATGCGATCCCACAATCAACGTCATCATCATCAACATCATCGTCATCAACGTCATCAACACCTTCATCATCATCGGGACACCATCACCATCATCAGCTCATGACCATAATCATCAACATCAGCATCGTCACCATCATCATCATCATCATCGTCATCATCATCATCATCATCATCGTTGGGGCACCATCATCGTCACCACCCTCATCATCAACATCATCATCGGGACCCCTTCGTAATCATCATCATCATCACCATCGGAACACCACCATCATCATCACATCATCATCATGAACAACATCACCAACATCATTAGCACCGGGACACCATCAACATCACCTTCATCAACATCATTATCAACATCATCATCATCATCGAACCACCATCACCATCATCATCATCACCACCGTCATCATCATCATCCGCACACCGTCTTCATCACCAACATCAGCATCACCATCATCGGGCCACCACCATCGAAATCATCATCATCACGTCATCATCTTCATCATCAAAGGACACGATCATCGTCATCGTCATCATCATCAACACCAGCATCATCGGGACATCATCACCATCATCATCAACAGCACCATCATCAACCACATCACCACCATGGTTGGGACACCATCATCATCATCTGCATCTCATCATCCCATCATCATCAACATCACCACGATCATCAGCATCGTCATCGGGCCACCACCGTCATCAACGCCATCATCATCATCCACATCATCAGACTCATCACCATCATCGACACACCTTCATCATCACCACCATGGCCATCATCATCAACATCGTCAACATTATCATCATCATAATCATCATCATCGGGACACCATCATCATCACTACCGTCACCATCATCAACATCATCATCATCATCATCATCATCATCGTCATCATCATCGTCATCATCGGGGCACCGACGGGACACCGGCGAGACACCGCGGGCCACCGGACGCCGGTCCGGAATCATTTGGTCCGGCCGCGCTTCAGCCGGAGGCGGGACACCGTCGGGACACCGCGGGCCACTTTACGTCGGTCCGGAATCATTGGTGCAGCCAGAGGCGGGCCACCGGACGCCAGTCCGGAATCATTTGGTCCGGCCGCGCCTCAGCTACAGGAGACTTTCTTCTCGCCCGCCCACGCAGCTTCGCCTCGCCCGCACGCACGGCACGCACGAACACGAAACCGAA